TGGGGATACCACATGGTATGTGTAGTAAATGTGTGTTCTAGAGGATAATATTATTTTGTCGCCAACAAATTAAATGTCGAAGGTTTCCTTTTTTTTCATGTATTTGTACATGATTACTTTTACAAGATGTTCAATTACAGAATTGCATGAATGGAGATCATATAAGACAAAAAAGAAAGGAATGTTGATAAAATTTATTTAAATTGAGGTTAGTTTTTAGAGGGAAATTGGTCTAGTATTATACGCTCTTCCCAATACATGGCTTTTTTAATATTTTGATATATATTGTTCTGCTTTAAATAAACTCATGAATATTACATACCCATTAGGAATGTAACATTTTAAATACACAAGAGTATAACACTTCAAACGACTCCGATTTGAAATCGTCATTAGAAATAGAAGGCTATAGCAGTAATAATTGACATTGTTAATTCATCTACAGAAATAAATTTACATAACTAAACTTCTCAGTTGCTAAATAAATGCTACTGCAATTGACAGCGTTCTACACCTACATATAGTATTATACGTGTTTAAAGTGTTATATTGCCTTGCGTAGAACGCTATGTTAAAAACTCTGCGATTAAAATGCGTATGATCTCTAATTAAAACATTCGGTATTAAATTAAAAGTATAACTTTGATTCAGTACTGTACAACAGAATTTTCTGTATAAAAAATTATCTGTTCCATTTGCAGTCTGTTACCAAATAATTAAAAAAATTTACTTTTAAAATGAGTAGTATGATACTACGCTGTTCATTATATTGTTGTACTATTTGAATAAAGCAGTACTCAAATCTGCCCGCACGCGTTTCATAACTGCACTAATTAATGCAGTTAAACACTGTGTCTGCCTTGTTGATGTAACTTATATCTTGTTGCAGCCTGACTTTTGATGCAACTTATATTCAATTATAATACAACCAAATTATTGAGATTCGTTTGGAATATACTAGTATACTGATTTCGTTTCGAAGATGTGGATTTAGATTTTTATTAGCATGGTCGTGTTGTTTCATAACTTTGTGTCAGAGATACCTTGTATATGTTATATACAATTCGTGTACAAGATATCCTAAATGTCTTATATATTATTGTAAAGACATATACATATTTGTGAATGTGTCATTTTATATGCGAATAATATTTAAGTTGTTAACTCTTCGGGGTGTTACCATGAGAATAAATTTTATGAAACCGCAATTTTATTCTGCAATATTACTGATTTTGTATACATTTTTTTTTGTATCACGCTATACAATAAGTTATAGAATTAAAAAAAGGACAAAGTATCCAAAAATTCTCTATAATAATATTATATGTATGTATGTATAATATATGGATGAAAAAAGAAAACAGAATATTGCAAAAAAAAAAAATAAAATGTCCTGGAGACTAAAAGTTTACGCTTTACGTAATCTAAGATTATCCTTAATAAAGATATAATGATTATGATAGAATAAAGTTGATTATATGCGATTGTTATAATAAAATTGTCGAGCAGATACCGATTATGCCGATGATTATGATTATAGCGGATGATTACGATGATGATGATGATGATGATTCCTTTTTTTAAGTGGTTTATGGTGAAATATTTTGTTTAAAAAGGGGCGTTATTATTTTTCAGTGCGGTTTTTAAGTGAACTGCAATTTTCTGCTGATTTTGCTGAATTGCTATATTTTTTTTTTATCGTCTTAATTTTTTTCTATTTCTTATTTTTTTTCTCTCTAAACATAAAGGATTTAAATTTAATAAATACTTTATTTTTTCGAAAATTATTAAATTACAATGATATTTTTTTTTTTTGTGAAATTTCAAAATTTAAAGTAGTAATTTGCGATTGTGCAGTGTGTTCGTTCTCTTAATTGTGTTGGCATCAAATAGAATTGAAAAATGGGAAACACAAGGTTGTTTAACTTTAGCATGTAATATTCTACATATTTAAAATATTTCATAATTCAAGAGCAAATAAAATTGATAAGAAATAATAGTAAAAATTGTATGAGAAACTAGTGTGTAATTTGTCGTAAAATGAAATATTATTACTGTGGATTCAAACCTGTTTATTAAAAATGGTTTGTGTCTTTAAAAATTTTTAGAATAACAAATACTATCGTTTGAGTATGTATTTGCTTTTCAGAATAAGCTACAATATATAAAATTATTTTAGCTTGATTGTTTCGGGGATTAGAAAAATAAATCCAGTTGAATTGTTTGAATATTTTTAGAGCTCGAATATCCTAAATAAATGATTCTTACGACATTTTAAACTTGAATATGCTGGGGTACACAAAAAATCTTTTTCGGTTAGCGTTTCGGGTAGTTTTTTGCTCTAAAAATTCTTTATTTTAAATGTTGACAATCAAGAGCATTTTCTGTCGTCGAGGTAAAAAAATGTTACGGCCAGTTAGTACCTTTATTGTAACATTATTGATAGCCTCTGTTGGTATTACCGTGAAAATCTAATCTAACAAAAGATCCCGCATTTCAAATCAATGCAGGGTCAGTGAATAGGCGGGTTTGTGGTACATGTTTTTAATTTTTTTTTTTTTTTACCGAGAGGAAGGGTGAAACATATCGAAAGACATTGTCAAACGACAAGCAGTAGTGTGGAACTTTAATCCACTAAAAACACCGTCCCCAAAATAAATTACAAAAGTAATCGGAAACGACTAACCATTAATTTTGGTCCAGTATGTATTTAAATTCCTTTTTTTACTATTACGTTTCGTCTTTAAGTGGACTGCTTAGCTTCCAATGCGGCTTTATGTTTTCCTTTTTGCAAATCAAATTTTGCAAAAAACTTTGCAGATGATGCAGATTCTATTCGGCAAAATTTGTATTTGTATGTATGTTAGGTGTGGTCATTGCAATTATGAAGAATAAAAACTTTAAGATGAAAATGATGCAATATTGCTTGATTACGCAATTCCCAACTGATGACCGTAGATAAATTGACATAGAATATTCAATGTTGTTATTTGGGTATAGATGGCTTTAAACTTTTAAATAGAGCTCTAATGACATATTTTTAGTGTGTATGTTGGTTTTTTAGTGTGTATCTTTGTTATTAAAGAAACTTTAAGATAAACTCATTTCCGTTTACAAACTCAATTATTCTCAATTATCCTGAAGAAGTGTAGAGTAGCAATATTAATATTTATTTTTAATTATGAGTGAAGTTGGTAGCGTTAAATATCTTTGAATGAAACGAAGCATTATTTTTAAAAAAACATAATTAAATATTGAATATATCAAACAACTTTGCCTATAGGAACTCCAGTTTACATTGATACGAATTGCAAATGAACATCCAATTATGATCTTTTAAAATTTTTTGTATTTCCATTAATCTTGAAATGAACGTGTATATAATGAATTATAGTATACACATGTAATATAAGTGTTTATTATAAAATTAATGGTGCTATGACATGTCGTACAACTGTTATTCTATTTATGCTCGATTCAACAACATAAACTTATAATAAATCATACAATAATTATTCTTCATTTTCAATAAATTATTTGATATTAAATACATATATATGTACATATATAACTTGAATATATGCATATACATATATATGTATATTCCAATTGAATTGAAATTCGTACTTTTCTGATTTCTTATTTTTAAAGTTGTTTGCTTTCTCTCAGAAAAAGAAAATATTTTTTTTTTATCAGTTCACGTCTCATTAAAGACACTGAAACTGAACATTATGTGAATTCAGTTTGTAAGTGTAAGTTTGAATATGTGTGGTATATATGCTAAATAAATGCATAAGCAATTATAGGTAATTTAAATTCACAGCATAAGGTTTTGTTAACATTTGTTTTATTAATAGGGCAACAAAGTTATCAAAGACAATATTAGAGAAATTTTTTTGAATAGAATTTGCAACTATACCGGTAGAAATTACAGATATTTTTATTATATGTACCTCAATTCTCAGAGAATTGAGAGTCGGTTACCTATGCTATTTTACGCATGACATTTTTAATAATTTTTCAGTAATTTAACTAAAACAGAATATGCTGAATTTCTACCTAATACTACATTTTCCATTTATATTAATTTTATTGTGTGAAGTTGCTTAGAACCGCAATATATTACAATCTCCGATTATGTGTGTCTATTAAAATTAGAGTAAAATACTAAAAGCATGCAAATATTATTTACAATCTTACACTAGCCAAATACATCACCTACCGAATGATGTGAACAAAACAGGAAACTAAACCTGCAGCTTTTTTGGATGAGAACAGGATGATAGAAAATCATTTATAAGAAAGTTAAGCAGTACGTCGTTTGAGATTAAAGTGCTTCGGGAGGGGCTTTCAGTTTCAGAAGGGGCTCAAAGCTCGCCTTTGGAAGTGTCGCTGCTTGATAAAGGTGCAATTTTCTGAATTACATTGATTATCTAATTGAGATTAGAATCAAGAGTTTTTGAGGTTCTAGAATTGGAGTAAAAGACACAATAAGCTAAGATGAGAGACCGCCAAATCAGCATTGAGCTTCCAGGGAAGGATAGGGCTCAACAGCAGCAAAAAATTGTTGTTGTTTTTGTAGTTGTTAATTGAAAATACATACTCAAAATTTTTTCACTTAATCAATTTAATTTAAAATTTATTTTGCATTTGTTTTTAATTTGTTTTTTTAATATAAAATTTCATATTTATTAATTTTAACAATAAAATATTTAAAATTTTTTTTTTAAATAAAAAATATTATTGATCCAAATTTCGAAAATCGAACTTAAACAATATTTAAGTTAAAAATTTTTTGAATTCTTTTGTTTAATTTTAAACTTAATTTAAAATTTAAATTATTTAATAATACTAAAATATATTTATTTACAATTCAAACATATGTGAAATTAATACCTAATCATTATACCTATACATACATACATATATACTTAAAAATTTACACCTACCAACTAATACATGTATGTACAATTACTTAACATATTCACACAGCACACAATTATAGTAAGAATAAACAAAAAAAAATAAATTTAAAAAATATAGGAAAATAAATTATACAAAATTTTTAAACAAAATCAGTACGCATTTTGATCAGTTGAACTATTTAAAATTCCTGCTGTTGTAATAGCAGCAGCTGCTGCAGCTACTGCTGATGCTGTAGAACCTGTCGATGATGGTAATATTGAACCAGTTGTCATTTGTATTGGTATTGAATGTTGAGCTGATATTAATGATGGTGCAAATCTTTCAAAACCACTACTAATATCAATTGATGTCGGATTTTTTCTTAAATCTGGTTTTGGTCCACTTAATGCCATTTTTTCCATATGTTGATGTTGAGATCTGATTGCAAATCTATTTACATGTACTGGTATTGGTACAACAATTTTTGTTCCATTATTACCAGTACGACCTAAACCATGTGATGTAAGACCAGCTTTAACACGTTTCCATTTAGCACGTCTATTTTGAAACCATATTTTAACCTATATAATTTTATTAAAATAAAGAAAAAAATATAAATAAAACAATTATTATAAAATATTTTTAATTAAAATATTAAATTTTGTACCTGAACTTCACTTAATTTAAGACTAGTTGCTATTTGACTTCTTTCTGTTAAACTAAGGTACTTTTTTGCATGAAATTCACGTTCTAATTCTAATAATTGTTCAGATGTAAATGCTGTTCTACGTCTTCTTGATTTTGAATTATTACTATTATTGCTACTATTATTGTTACCATTATTACCACCGCCACCACTACCACCAGTTTCAGAACCTTTTGTTGATTCACCGGATGCATTGTGGCCAGAATTACCATCATCAGAGCATTCATCACTAATATCATCTGAATGGCAATCTATAAATAGCAAAAAAAATAAAATTAAATAAATAAAATGAACAATAAAATAAATCATTAAATAAATCCAATGGTCGTTTGCAGTGACTTATGACTTTTCAAAGAAAAAAAACCAATCAATAAGTTATAAGAATTAAATTATCCTTTTTGTGTATAAATAGACTGTAAAAATCACTTTTAAGTGATGTATGCCTATAATGTGTTTATGATGGGAAAAAGTTGATTTTCTGAGGGGGTCACAAATTTTTAATATCAAATCATTCAAAAGTTAATTGATTGGAGAGACATACGTATAAAATGTAATGTATATTATTTAAGAGAAATTTTTGGAAATGACAAATTATTATAATATATATAAGTAATTATATGAAGATATGTGGTGCATGTTATTCTTAAATTGTTTTGGATTTCTAAATCGTATAATCGTAAATTGAGTTACACTCTAAAAATAAACTTTCAAAATAAAATGAACAATTGCTACTCTCACTGTTAAAAATTTATATCTTAAAGTTTATTTGTTTTTAGTTTTTTAAGTACCATTTTCATTTTTAACCCATAGTCTCAAAGTTATATGCTGCATCAGACTACGAAATATAATATTTACCATCAATAAATGTGCAGTTTCAAATTTAAACTAAAAACTTTTGGTTTTGTGTTTTAAAATTTAGATTTTGGTGTGCTCAAATTAGAGTATTGTTTAGAGTAAGTGCGTATTGAGTGACATTGAGCTAAGAAATCAAAGCTGTACTAACGTGCGTGCTTTGTTTTTCAAAGTGAAGCCAAAGAAGAAAAGCCAATAAAATCAAAAGAAAATCCTATCATCCAAAAAGATCAAATCGAAATCTTTAGCCATTCTGTTTGTTTCCAAGAATTTGATATCGGGATCCGGCATTATTTAAAGAAATTTAGCCATTTAATTTTTTAAAAATTTTCTGCAAATTTATAGAATATAAATTTTCGTTTTGAACTAGACTCAAACATGAGGTAGTAAGTCCAATTTTATAGCGAACCACCGCACACATAACATACTGAAACTTTTTTTTTGAGTGTGCAAGCACGTATTAAAAAGTATAAAAACATTATGTCAAAAATTATTTCTAAAATCAAAATTAATGTAAAAACATTTTCATAAAAGCATGTCACAAGTTAAAAATCAAATCAAATTGAAAGGAAAATAAAAAGGACAAAATTTAAATACGACATTGTATTTGTATATGTATACGTATATACATATGTATTTATGTAAATAAAAACATAATAAATTGCGGTGAGCGGTTCAAGATAAGAAAACAGGGTGGGTACGTTATGTTTCTTTTAATATGAGTACATACATTCATATATGTACATCGCTAGATATAAAATTAATAAGAGTTATTTGTACATGAGTATCAACCCCCACTAATTTTACAAATTATAAATTTTATCAGATCATATTCATATAACACTTTTATGGTCGGATTAACACTAAGTATTGTCGTCGTTCAATGTTTTCTTTTTTACTTTCTCACTCCATATTTTTTATTTTGCTGTCAAGGCAATAGAAGTTAACAATTACAATAACAATCATTTAAATATTCACAATAAATATTTTAATATAAATGACAAAATTTATATTTTACAGTGTTACCATATTTGTAACAGAATCGATAAATAAAATTTATTGAAAACTTTAGATTATATGGGGTTTTGTGTTGTAAAACTTGAGATATTTTTTGATTTGAAAAATGTTCTCTGTAAAGATCTTGTCTCAATACATTGGCGGTTGTCTATTACTTCTGAACACATTGATGGTTTCAAGAAGTTACAGAAATTTTAAAGAAGAACTTAAACTTTTGCTTGTATTTACTTAACAAGTATAAGTAATAAATAATAGTAGTTTTTCCTATATTATTCCTGATACAATACATACGGCATTGTATGTTATGTCAATGTCAAATAATAACTACTTGATTCTCAATAATTGTTTTACTTTTTAACGCAATCTTAACTAAACCAATCAACTTTGATGTTAATTAAATTCCGGCCAACAAACGTTATTTTACATTTTATTTAAATGTCCTTGTACTTGCATTTTTTAATTTCATTTAAGTATCTGCTTGATAATCAACTAAGAATAAACATAGTAATTACGTCTTCGAAATTGACTGTCAATGTGAAAGAATTGTTGCAATAATATTTCTCGCAAACGCATCTCAGTGACTTTTTTCAAAATTAATGGCGCACAAGCAGCTTTGTGCAAATTAAATTAACAAATATTTCTTAAATATGGCAACAATAAATGTTATTTATTATTATTACATATACACATATCATTATATGGTTGTATACATGTTAAATACATTTTATATATTTTCCTTTAATAAACTCTTTATGATATTGAACTGGATCGAAAAAGTATAATACGTCTAATAAAATATACTTTTGTAAATGTTACGGTATATGTGCAAAAATGGGTATATACGTCATTTGTTGAAAACTGGATGAAAACTCAACAATTGAAATGTTATTTTAAATTTTCTTTATTTTATCATTTGTATTTGGAAGAATTAATGTTTTCGAATTTGGTATTTTCCTAGTTCCAGTTAAATTTAAAACAACTGACTTATAATAAAGAGGATGAAGCAAAATAATATTAGACAAGATACATGAAAAATCTGTTTTTAATAAAATAACCTCATATACTGACTCAGATTTGATTGAAAAACCAGTACTTTTTCTTTTATATCACTCCAACTTACTGTTAATGAGATAAAAATCCCATTTCTAACAAAAATGTCACTTATTTTCTTGAGTTGTTAAATCATTTACTCATATTATTCTATTAGGACTACTCATATACTTTGATACACTTGGAAAATTTGACGTTCCCACGAATACTTTTCTAAAAATATCTAACGCTCATTTATGTTGACTTCACACTTTTTTGAAAATTTTTACCCTCAACATGCACTTATACCGTAACAAAACAATATTAATAGATCCTTTTTAAGAATATTGTTATAATGTTTTGAGGGTGATTTTAAAATCATAAATGTTTGTTAGAATTTTTCATCCTTTGTGTAACGTTTAACTGTTAACCGAATTATGAATTTATAATTTCAATTTCCAAAATAAACTCTATAATAACAGTTTAATATGATTGTCTACTAAATGTATGTACTTATATACATACAAGAATATTCAAATGAAATTTCAATTCAATTCCAACAAAAAAGGGGGATTTGTTGCTAAATTCAAAATTTTGATTTTCTTTGTAAATGGGGAACATTTCCCTTATAGACAACCGTTAAAAAATAATTTTCCATAAATATTATTGTGATAAAAAAGTTTGAGGTTTTGAATAATATGAAATTTATCTAAAAAAGTACTTAAAAGAATTGAGTGGAACGAAGAGAAAAGTGAATTTATTTTGTTCGTATGTTTACTATTTTAAAAAGAAAGGCTGGTCAGGTTTATTAAAATGTTATAAAGATTAAATGAAAATTAAGACAGTTATAAATTTGCGACAGGAAATCAATTAAGAATTTTTGTTTTTTTTTTTTAAGAAAACAAAATAATAATGGAGTTGTAGTTTTGTGAAACAGCAGGAGGAGGAATGAATACAGCCACATCATCACATGAATTTATGTAATCTTGTATTTTTGTGTAGAAATTGTAATTAGTTGAGGAACTTTTAATATTTAGAAGACATAAGATATCTAAAATAATTTGTGAAATTAACAGAAATTATGACTTATATGTACTTCCTCCTTATGATTTAAGCTTTGCTAACATAATTCTTGCTAATCCATTATATCACTATTCAATAACTTTGCTAATTCACTATAGTTGTAACCATAAAAGTTTTTATATTTCACCTGAAGCGTAGAAGGCAAAATAAGCTTGATATTGCGTTTCTATCTTAATTTTTCCAAATAGCCTATGCTACCAAATTTACTAATACTCACTTGAATTTACTAAGATCGTTAATTTATAGGTTTGTCTTAGTAAATTCATTAATTGTATTGATTTAAGTATAGTCTTCCGCTAGCGTATAATATTTTGGAGAGTTATACATTTAGGACGCTCCATTTAATAGTATATATAACACATTTCAAATTGACAATTACACCAGCCTTTACGAATGAGTAATTGAAAATAATAATATCAAACAAATATTTAATAAACTAGTCGTAAACTATAACGTAGCTTATTTAATTAGCTATGTTATAGTTCACAAATACTCCAGAGTAATTTTGAGTGTAATTTTCATGTAAAATAAATGCATTGATTGCCAATATTCATTCGCTTTAATAAAATCAATAATGGTGTATTAATAATTGAATTTCAATTGAAATATTTAATTTTCATATAAGAATTTATAATTTTCTGTTCAAGAATTTCAAAGTGGTTTAAATTTCATCTCATGAAAACCACCTGCTGGTAAAAGTATTCTCCGGCATTTTCAATTGCTTTCCAAATACTTAACCACAAATTTAAAATGTCTTTAAATTTTAAGAATTACAAATAGTTCCTAAGGCTATTCTAGAATATTATATAAGAATTATACACAATTTTTATTCTAATTTATGCACCAAATGACTAAACGGTGTCTTATCACATTTTATGTGATTTATTTATCACAATAGAAAAAAATTACAATTTTTTTCAAAAAAATTCACTTAAAATTTTCATAATTTTTATTTTTAATATTTTTTTTTTTTTGAATAAATTTTGAAACAGTTGCAAAATATCAGTAATTTCCATTAAGATGTCCTTTAAATAATTTGTTGTTTTTTTTCTTTATACGTAAAATCAGTGAAATTTAATACCATTACAAATAAGTGCGAATAAATTAAGCACAGATACAAATATTTACAGCGCTTTCAACTATCTATGCTTATAACTGTTATATTTAAAATAGAAGTATGTATACCAATTATCCTTAACAATAATGATTATCATCATTACTACAATCATTAAAATCATAGCGTTTATGATGTGCCTACAACCTTGAATTA